TAKAAATTGCCGATATCATCGCAATWTTTACAAATCTTACTGCCATCGCAAGATTATCTAATAACAAGCAGCTTTTCTTCATAGATTTCAGTCAATGTTTCATCTCAGGTTTTTTTCTGACAGTTTGCAAACTAAAACACAAAATCCTATCATAGAGWAAAAAATAATAAAATAGAAATTTGACCACAAGTCGTCCTTGTTTCAGTAAGTCAGTCTATTCATATTTTATATAAACACTTATCTGTGCACAGAGTTCAACGTGACCCAACATCCGTTTTCTTCCAGCATATAGATGCTCTTCTGCCTCACATGCTGCCCAGCTCGTCCAGCCTCGCTGACCGCTGGTTGTATGTCTGAATGAAGGAATTTAAACTTCACTGCAGGCAGGGAAACTGGATCTCTGTGGTTCTGGCCAGGCTGAGCTCCCACGTCTCTGGCCGGTCTCCAGGGGTTTGTTTTGTGTCGGTCTGCGCTAAGTGCAGGGAGTTAAAGGTACAGCAGTGGTGTTTATCCTTTTAGCCGTCAGCTCTGGTGGGAAGATGAGTTGAGTTAAATAATGTAGGTCAAGTGTTATTAAAGCTACCTAATAATAGATTTTACTCCCACTGGTTGGTTTATAAAACCACTTCTCATGAGTTGGAAAATAACAATTAAATTTCTAGCTGATTAGATTTTTTTTTTGAAGCAGCAGTCATTTAATCTTTAACCCCAATTTTGTTTAGATGTTACAAATATAAATTTGTTCCGTTTTATTCTCTGGTGTTTTCACGTAGCCTGAAGTAATATATGATTTAAATAAAAATCGCTAGATAAAGTGGACATGCCCATAAGGGAGAGCTTTTTAATTAAAACCAGGGTTTAATTTATTTATATTTATCTAATTTTAGAAACTCATCCTGGCTCGTTGCTGTTCTGACCAAAGGAAAACTCCAAACAGTGAGTGCTTTGTTAATGTTTGGCCGTAACTAATACGAGATCAGGAGAGGATAGGAAAAGCTGACCAACTGTGCACTCTCTCTGACACTCAAGCCCATTTCCACAGAACGTGCGCTCCCACCGCTGCTGGATGTCACGCTTACACCAGCCATCTCGTGGAAACAGCCTCCTGACGCCGAATAAAAGCAGCGAGGGGGAAGTTAAATAGCCTCACACGATGCAGGAGCAACAGGCGTTTGTCTCCCGATGGGTGGATTTACAAGCTCTTAACTCCACTATCAGGTGGTGGTTAAACAGAGATCGCCTCGTTCCTGTAAGATTTACTGGGAGTTTTTATCAGTTTTTCATCTGTTCTCTTTGCTTGTAAATCAAAACGGTTGTTAAACTTCAAACTTTTAAAACTGTTGCTGTTATTCAACTCTGCGCTGATCTGCAAAACCTTAAAGCACAGAATAATATGCTAATCAAAGGTTTCTTAATAAAGTCTTTATATAAGGGTTATATTCTTTTTTTTATTGATGTCTGCTTAAAGACGAAGGAGGTAATGCTTTTGCTTGTATCTGTGTGTCCATCTGTTGGTAAATATCACATGAACCACTGGACAAATTTAAATGAAACTTGCGGAAAGTAATTCCTGGATGTGCATTTATAACTGATTAACTTTTGAAATCAGATTCAAGATAATATGATCTAAAAAAAAGCCCACAAAATTGGCTATAACTCAGTCAGTTTTGCAGATATACAGCTAAAGTCTTGTGTGGTAGTAGCTGAAACAGATCCTCAACAGAATGGGCCTCATGCAGGAACATGTTCGTATTCTTATCCTAAATTTCTCTTACTTTTGTTCGAACAAAGTGTTCATACGAACATGTCACGTCAGATTCAACAAACTCTTCTATCTTCAGGAAAAGTGTGTAAATGAGCTGCGTAAATTCACCCTTTTCTATCCAGCTGCTCGTGCACGCGAGAGGAGATTAGCATAATTACCACCCCAAAAACACCATACAAGGCTGTGTTTCCTGCCTCAGATACAAGGAAGTGTTCATTCATGAAAATGACAGCTAAAACTAAAAAGAAGAACTTTACGAGTTCAGAGATTGAAGTCCGTCTGTCAGAGATCCAGAAAATAAAATCTGTCATTTTAGCAGGTCAGCTGTGGAATAAAAAGAGCTGCTAAAAGTATAAACAACTGTGTTAAATCATTTTCATTTATTCAGAAGCCACACCGTCGCGCACTCAAAATATCTTCTAACTAACGAAATATAAAGTTATTAGGGAGGAAAATCAGTCTGGATAACAGCAGACTGACTGCTCGTAAAATATACTGGAACACTCGTGAATTTTGTTCGTATCTGAAGAAAATCTTAGAATATAAAAATATTGGTGAATGCCACAAATTCTCCTAAATCGCTCGTACGCACAACTTAAGAACAAATCTGTGCGTACGAACGGTTCTTGCATGAGGCCCAATGTGTTCAAACAAAAAAATCCTTGTTTAAATTTTGCCAACAAGTATTTGAAGTCAACTCTGTGTTGGCAAAAAATCCCATGAACTACTTGATGGGTTGTGAACTTGTAGAAAATAGGACAGATCAAGTCAGTCAAAGGAATAAGATTATGGAATAATCTGGATAATGATTGTAAAAATGCTGGCTCAATTAAATTTGTTTAAGAGAATAACAAAAGCTAAATTGTTAAAGAAATCTGAAATTGTATAATTTGTATTTGCAAGAGTTACTGTTTGAGGAGTTGAATTTTTTGTTTAGTTTTATTATTTCATTACTATTTTTTTKAATTTATTTATTTTTTTGCAAATAGGGGCAGATATAAGATTTTTTTTCTTCTGCTACCTTTCATTTTTTAAAATTGTATTGTTTTGTTGTATGTATAATGTGTTTTTTAAATGAAATTAATTAAATTAATAAAAAATAACTAATGGCCTCCACAAGTAAGTGACTTTAGCCAACACCAAAGGCTGTGTCCAAAATCAGAGGTTGCATCCTTCGAAGGATCTACCCGGTCTTCATGTGTGGGGTCCTTTGTCGACCACAAAGACCAGAAGAAAGTGGCTTTGAATTTGGACAGGATAGCTTTCAGCTTTATTCCCACCCTTACCCCAGCATATGTCCTGTCGCTTTGCATCCATGACTGTGCTAAACAGAAGCACTGAAGATGAAAATGAGAAAAAATAACAATGTTATTAATATCACAAATGAAAAAAATTATCTTAGAGGCAATATACAAAAAACTAAGGGACATAAAACTTGTTTACGATTATTTCTGACAAGAATAATATTCAAATACGTGTCTATGCAGATGACTAAAGGCTAACACGACTGCTTTAAACTTTTAATTTTTGCACTGCCATGTTTTTATTTAAAACTAGGGGTGTAACAATAGATAAAACTCTCCTTAGACCTTAGAACAGTGCTTTAACTATGTGGCCTTCCAACATCATATAAAAAATGACATTCAYACAGAACTTTCCAAAAACTGAACATAAATATAAAACAAAATAAGTAATTACTCCTTTTCTTTATGATCTTTGCATGTCTTTACTTATTCAATGAAATCCACTCTGAACTTACCAAAAATTCAACATAAATAAAAAACAAAACAAGTAATTATTTTTTTCCCTTTATGAACATCTATCAGATCTCTCTCCAGGGCTCTGGTCTGGCTTTAGGAAGGGGGAGGGGCTCACCGCACCGCTCGCTGCTCGCGGAGGAGAACGGTGCTTGGAAAGGGCTGTCGCCAAAACTTCTAAACTAGAGGGGTCTAAAAACTTGCTAGATCTAATGACAAAGTTGCTAAGTCGGCAACACTGTAGCGAGACAACAGTTACCTCTCAACGAGAGAGATCGCAGGTGTTGAATGATACGTCGGACCCTGACTTTAAATCAGGGGAAAAGGAGGATGCATTGGTGGGCTGCAGTTAGAGGAGCCTTTGAATTTGGACAGCCTTTGGCGCGTCGCTGTGATGTAATCGGCCTTAAAATTCGGCCTTCGAAGGATGCAGCTCCTGAATTTGGACRCATCCAAAAATGYTGCAGCAATAGTCACCTTGAGTTACTTTTTATGTAGACTGATGGTCAATGAACTGTTTTCAAATAGCAAWGTTTTCAAATGGTGTTAATTTTGTAAAAGCTATAAAGAAGAATGGGTATCTTCAGAACGTGGAAGACCTACAGGGGCTGTTTTTGGTTTATCAGAGTCATCCTCTCTATTAGTCGTGCTTCATTAATCAAGATGGGAAAACGCTGATTTATAATTGATGAACACAGTCGAAGTRAACCAAATGTGAGTCAGATGAACTATGATTTAACACGTACAACACTCTGAAATACAAACAGATGTCTTCTGATTTAGACATTTGAGTTCAGTCAATCATCCTGCCTGCAAACGTGCTGGTATTAAACCATCAGACCCTCCAGTGACTGTGGACTGTATAAAGCACACTGACTGAGTGTGAGCCAGCCAAAAAAACAAACAGTTACAGGATGTATCTTTCTGTTCTGTGTCAACTAATTTGTTAGGGAAGTAAAATGTCTACAAAGATTTGCTTTTATCTAGAGTGCACAGTTCGAACCAGAACCAAGCTGTCAGTAAAAGCTCAGCTTTTTAACTTCAACTTAATTTTGTCTAAATATAGACTTTTATTTGATGTGGAAGTCTAGACTGAAATGTCTTCTTTCATTTTTAGACCAAATTTAAGATGTTTTTAGTCAAGATCTTTAATTTTTTTTTATGTTATTAAGACATCTGTTAGAGCAAAAATGCCCAATGAGTTAGAGATCGTGTTCAAATGTTCAGAATGAAGTTAAAGTGGAGCTGCAGAGAAGACAATTTAGGTGGTTTGGGTACATTTTTTAAGTGTTATCTAAATGGAAAGGAACACCATGGTCCAGCCAGTGTAAACAGTGTATCTTTTTCTGACCTGGGGACACGTTAAGACCCCCCCAGGAGAGATTGAAAAACTTTCAGAGGAGGGATCATCTTTCTCATTCTCCTCCGAGCGTTTTAAAGAAATTTAATTAATGTATTTGTGTCTGCGTGTGTTTTAGGAAGTGGGGCGACTGCAGTGGTCCAAGAAGCTTACTGTGTACCACGCAAGGAGAAGGTGGCCATCAAACGCATCAACCTGGAGAAATGCCAGACAAGTATGGATGAACTCCTGGTAAGCCTCACAGCGCTGCCGAGAGAACGCGCACCATGCAGGACACGTGGGAATAATTCACGTGAACTCAAATGCAGCGACGCCTTTTAACGGCACAAGATTTTATTTACGATTTCTGTGTTCTTCCCATGTGGACGGCGTTAGTTTCGACTCTGCGTTTCATTACTCATTTTCTCAGAGCTGTCATCCAGTCATTCCTGTCACTTCAAACACTGTTCTCGTTGTGCTCTAAAGGAGAGCTCCGCTTACAGCCAGGAAACTATTAGACCACCGCGGGACATCCTCCTCGCTGTAGTGCTGTGTTTTTACAATCTGGACGCACTCTTCCTCGCACCATTTATTGCATGGCATGTGCGTATCGTGTTTTATATAACCCGATCCACGCTTAAATGTAATCAAATTAATCAAATCTTTCATTTAAAACAAGACGTGTAAATAAGACAATACTTGACGTAGAACACAAACTTTAATCATGCATTTAGGCTAAACAGGTGATTGATTTATTTGTTTCCAGTCTTTCAAAGTACTGCTCCTGAAGTCTGGAAGTACCCTGCAGGAAATAAACGTTGTGTTATTCTAGCCGAGTCTGTCGATGATCATGGCCTGAAAAAAAAACAAAAACAAAACTGGCAGGTTGCTCACTACTCACCGGCAATACTAAACCCTTCCCCACCTCCTGAATTCTGCAGGATGAATCGGGGGAATGCTGCTCCCGGATTCTCGGCGCAGGAAGTCACGTGGAATGCTTTCGCGATCGGATTTCCTGCGCTCGGTTTCCTCCCACATTTCCACAGCCCGCTGGGTGCCCACTTAAACGTCGAGGAAGCATTAAATTAAAGCCAGATCGCCTCTCGAAAACCTTAAAACTTGGCTGCAAAAAGTTATAGACGACCTCAAAGACCTGTCCGTTGAAAAGTCTTTGATGCCAGAAAACGAATCGCTGCAAATCTGGGTCACCGTATTGTGTTTATTCTTGGAGCAGGAGCGTAACGGTTCAGTGCTTTTGAGGGACTAAATAGAACAGATGTTTTTGAGATTTACTATAAATCAAGTCTGATGTTCTCTAAATATTATTTTACAGTTATGCAAGATTATAAAAGTCAATGAACAGTTGTAACACTAAGTCATAATGTCAATATTGTGATCATTATTTTTACCATAATTGTGCAACCTTTGGCATTATTGTTTCGTAGATGAGCAACATTTTTTTTTGTAGTTTCTTGTGTGTGCATGCTGCAGTATGATTGAGTCATTGTGGTTGTATGTGTGTGTGTGTTGTGTGTGCTCTGAGTAACCAACAGTGATGTAACTTTGCTTTTATAGAGGCCTCTGTGTGTGTGTGTGTGTGTGTGTGTGTGTGTGTGTGTGTGTGTGTGTGNGTGTGTGTGTGTGTGTGTGTGTGTGTGTGTGTGTGTGTGTGTGTGTCTCCCATCCCTGTGATTCAGTGGCACCACTGTGTGAACCAGCACTCTATTCAGTTTGTTACAATAGGTCTTTTATGTTTTCTTTTTAGCTCAAAGTTCTCAGACATGGCCATTGCTAAATAGATCAGACCTACTTTAAAATATAAGTGGTGAGAGCTGGACTACTTTAATGAAAAACTTTATTTCTTTGTAGGATAAATAGATTGAACAAAAGTTTTGTACTTAGGGTTTTTTGACACACTGGTTCATATTGAAGGTACACAAAATGATTCTCTTTTTATTCTTTTTTTTCACAGAACAAAGGCAAACACAAAACAAATGGCCATCTTACCATTTACAATAAGTCAATATTAATAATCATATAAGGTGGGATAACAACATTTTTAGTTATATAGTATAAACAAAAGCAATAGAATGCTTTGTGTTTTCTGTAAGCTGAATTGGTAAAGACTTAAAATTTGAAGGATGAATGAGTTCCATTTAAAAGAAAACGTGTCAGCCCAGCCTCTAATTGTAAGAAACATGTGGGGAAGATACCATGAGAGGGGTAGATGGAACCCCAAATGCAGCAATGGAAGGATCCAGTTCTATTAGAGTCCCAAAAACCCCTGGATAAAATGACAAAGAAGTATCTCCTGTCCTTGTGAAATCTGGGGCAAAAGAAAAGCAGGACACATCAAACTGCAAGGTGAGGCATAGCATCTGCTACACTGGTTTAATATGGTAGGATAGATTTTTAATAAAGTGGACTTAAACTGTATGAGCGACTTAGCGCAAATGGGAAGTGTGTACGAAGTTCAGTTTTATCCCTTCATTAATTCTATCACGGTTGTTCCATCACCAGTGATTTCTGATTATGTCCCATGTTTGATCAAAGAGGAGTGACGGAAAACATTAAAAAAGAGGCTTATTATCTAATTTAAAAAAGTACAAAAACTAAATGGGAGGTGGGTAAACCAAAATTTAAAGCCAAGTCTTAAAAATGCATAAACACACTGGTTTTGTTGAGGTTTCTGATCCTTTTAATGAATCTGCCATGCCATGATAGGAGGCACTGATAAAAGCAGGGGGGTGGCAGTGATTTCTCCGTAGTGGCATCTTTGTGGAGTGAGATAAAAACTTCAAATGAAAACTGAACTGAGTCCAAATCTTGAGTGTAGACAGTGCTGAAGGATTCACTGTAACACCAGAAAATTAAACGAGCGGTGGAAGGTAGATGAGGGAGGCAGTTTCAGTTCTGTTTGTTGAAATGGACAATTCCACATCACTCATGACACCGTGACATTTTTAAAGAGCAACTTGCCTTTTTGTTTTGATCATCAATGCTTGTTTTGCTTCTTCTGGTTTCCTTCAGTCATTTTTGTCTAATTCGAAATCGTCAAAGATTTGGACGTAGAGATTTGAGGGGGAAATAACACTGTCCTTTTTGTTTAAAGCAGACATATAATGCTTTTACATCCTTCTTGCATTTAAATTATTCATTTGGGTCTATATAAAGTGGAACTGCAATGCTTTGGTCTGAATTCCTCCTTGTTGTAACTACACAAGCCCCTCTTTCACCCCTTTTTCTGAGATGTGTCTCAGATCAACTCGTTTTGAGGCTGCTTCTTTAAATCCAAACGAGAAGCTTCACATCCAGCTTCACATCCAGCCTCCCTGCAGCTTCCAGAGCGGTCCATTCTAGCTTGATAGAGGGTTTTACGACTATATAGCAGTGCAGAAATATTTATTTACAAATGAATTAAAAGATGTCAACAAGGGAAGACTTGTCCGTCCAGCCTTACATATTGGAGCCAGAGTCTGACCCAGAGACAGAGGAGAATGAAGACCACCAAATTATAATTGGGAAGTCCAGATCTTATTTGGCAGTTCCATCGCAAATAATTTGACATAATAGTTCAGAAAAAGTCACAGAAAATATAGAAAACCGAACGGGTTGAAAAATATGACCCATAAAACATATAAAGATGTCTATGCAGCGCCTAAATTCAAAATTTAATGTTTCTGCACTTGTAGAGACTCCAAGTACACAACAGCATGCATTTAATGGCTAAAAAACACATTGATTTTACAAGATATCTTCCCTTTAATACATATTTGAACATTTTTGTAATAATTAATCAATTCAAGTTGTTTAAAACCTTCTTGCTCTGAGGCAACCAGAGCCACCATGAAACTCTCAGTAAATAACCTGGACCAACTCTTGACATGTTTTTGTGCGCACCAGGGAAAGTAAATACTTTGTTAAACTGCAATTGTTATCGCAATATGATGCTTTTTCCCCCTCATGCAAATGTTTTTTGGAGAATTATTTTAGACAGCATGGTATGGCACAGGCCTACCTATCATATCTGAGGAGATGAACCGTTAACATTGAACTTAGTATTTCAATAGCAAAGTAGCAATAGAGTAATATCTATTGCTAAAAAAAATGCATTAGGTGTAGCGACAACAAGGCATGTCTGGTGTGCATTTCAAGTTGCATGAATGAAATAACAAACTGCTCTAAGGGCTTGTGTTAGTATGAAGTCATTGCAGCACCCACCCATGAAACAAAAGCTGCAAAAAGACTGCTGGAAGGAGCGTTGCAGGGATCATCATAGCTGTTTCATTTCTTATGAGTGAAGTGTCTGATTAAGGGTTACACTTTTGGAAGGGATGTAAAATGTTTTAAGTTAGTTTTCAAAATCTTTGCTGCAGCTTAGGTGTACAATAATTTAATGATCAAAATAAAGAATCCCTGCCTAACAGAAGGGAACACCTGCCAGTGAAAATTACCGRTATATGCTGCTGCTACTACACCTGAATTTCCCCGCGCGGGACAATAAAGACTGTTTCTATTCTATTCTTCTATATTCCTTGTTCTCACATACCATGGGGGATCTGAGGTACAACAAAAGAGTAGTAGATCAAACAAAAAAACAAAAACACTTCTTACGTCAGCTCAAATTTTAATCAGATGATTGCGCTGAGGCCGTTAGCATTCCTCTTCCAAAGCTTCTAAGAAACATCCCCCTTCAAGGATCAAGGCAGGTGCAGACACGTTTAAATGCACGGTTTTTATTATCCACCCTTATTATGACTCAGTTCATGCTCTTAATCCTGTTTTGTTAAAATGTCTTCTGCATTATGAAGTCATATGCCGAAGGGCTTTAGCAGTTGGTGTTGATGGCACAGAGCACCACAGCTCAATATTGATGACTCTGCGGCTGAGTCACTCTGCTGTTGATGCACAATGTGTAAAGTAAGCATTTATGCTGATAGAAAATCTGGTTTTGATTACAGGCTGTTTTACCCAGAGACGTTTATTGACCGAGGTCTTTAACAAGTCCTTTTAGCTCACGAGTTAAGAGGTGCTCTTTGACAGGCCCGTCGCTCACTGATCAGGATTACTAATAATTCGAATGCAAAACACGATGGCATGTAATTGGTTCCCTGTTTCTGTTTAAAAGGTTCTGGTTGAATGAAGCTCGGCGCTTTCTTAAAGCGATAATTCTAATTTTTTGACGTGAGGTTCTGTGGGAAGGTCGTGAATAATTAATAGTTGTTGGAACCTGCTCAGTTTGGAAAAAATACCTCATAGCAAAATTTGCCAGGCCCAGTTCTGGCCCACACGTTGCACTACTGCTCAGCCTAGATGCTTCAAACAATGATGGCCTTTTGGTGACCCAGATGTGGTTTGCCAGAGGTGGTCCATGCATGGGCCAATACCACATAAAACCAATCCACAACCAAGCTAGTGGTATACACTCAAAAACAGTGCCATCATTGCCAGATCTGGCCCACATTTGCTTGACAAAACACTTGCCATGCCAGCAGCGCCAACTTGACTCCAGATCTGGACCACACCTGTCTGCTGTGTGGGGTGTAATGCAAAACGTATATCTTTCAATCTCTGTTTATAATTGTTTCAGCTGATTTGTTTTTTAAAGTTCAACTAATGCACAGAATAAGACCTTAAAACAAGACATAGCTGTAAAATTACAAATGTAGTACTGTATACGAGTTTGAGTGACGGCTGCAAAAAGACAATCTGGATTCTAAAGCTTCACCTGTTAACTTCAGATTCAAAGTTTGCAGACGGGACAGGATATGCATTCAGCTCTGCTTCACTTTCTTTATTCCCTCAGCTTTTCTGCTTGACTGCCACAGGAGGTCATTCCTGTTCATTACAACAACCGTGTTAAATTACACATTTATCTGTTTTATTAAACCATGTTAGTATTTTTAATTTCAATTTGTATGCTCCAATTGTTGTATTCTTTATACAGCAGCCAGTACAAACATGATGTCATTTATTTGAATAGTTTTATTGTGTAGCCTCGTGTGTTTRTCAGGTATTCAAATACAGAAACGAATACATTTCTGTCATCCTGTAGTTTTTACCTTTTTTGAAAGGCAGCTAGGTTTCTTTTCTTATAGGAAGCTCTGTATCCTCAAATGACTCTGGGTTTGGTGGTAAAGTGATGGATTAGACCTCTGTGCCAGCATTACCTCAGCTCTCCTTCTTTCCAAGCACACACAACCCACACACAGAAGGAAAGCTTTAAAGCTGCCCGAGCTCTGGCAGTTTTTCCTCCTTTTTTTTTTTTTTGCCTCTGCATAGCTGTGCATTTCATTGACCTAGCCTATTTCTCTTTTTACCACTGACATCTTTAAGATGTCAAGCTTCGCAGCAGCTTTCAAGACCAGAGTTGTACTTGCATTCAGTTTATTTTTTTTCCCTTCTGGATTTTCTCACATAAATTTCTTTATTGTAAAATACAGTTTGTGTTTGGAAAATAATTAAATGCCAAGAAAACACTACGTTTTCTGCTTCAGTGAATATTCCAGTAATTTTCTGAGACATTGCTTGGCTATTTCAGCTTTCTTTATTCCATTGTCACACAGGTTTTAGTGCAGTTCTTCTCACTGTTCTTGTTTTCCTTTTTTTTCAACAGAAAGAAATTCAGGCCATGAGCCAGTGCCACCACCCCAATATCGTGTCTTACTACACATCCTTTGTCGTAAAGGATGAGCTGTGGCTGGTTATGAAGCTGCTCAGYGGTGGTAAGTACACAACATTTGTCTCAAATTTACCCCCGTCAGTCAAACTGAGGTAGTTGATCACAAACACGCAACTCCTATTTTAAACTGAAGGTTTTAATTACCTGAAAAGAGGACCAGAAGGATGGGTTTGTGTTGGTTTGATTATGGGCTTTCAGTCTTCACTTTTGCATGGCCTCTCATAATGAGCGTGGACTGGCAAGAAGGGCTGGGTTACTTGCTGCCTGTGATTTTAACTGTTATTACAGCGAATGTGACAACACCGGTTTTCATTGTGTTCCCTGCAAAGCTGCAGCTCTCCACGGCTTTTAAGTCGGCACAGAGCTAATGACGGTGCAGAGGTAATAACGGCCCACATGGCAACCATGCGGCAGTGCTGCAATTAACAAGTGAGAGGAGGAAAACGGGGGGACTGGATATTCAAAAATGAACAAATGCACATGAAATTGATCCGATTGGTTTTATTTTTTTGCATTTCAACCTCAACATAACTCAAGATACTTCGACATGTAAATCTGATTTTTTTTCATATGTTACTCTTTGTTGCCCCTCCCAGCCCCCCCTGCGTAAACGCCGTCCCACTGTAACGGACTATGCCCAGGTGGCATGCCTGCTTCACTCAGATACACTCCAATCACAAACCCCCCTGGCAGCCGCCTGGCAGCTGGGCTTAGGGCGCCGCGCCCGCCAAGCGACGCTTGAGCAGCCAGCSTCGCAGCGGGAGCCGAAACAACTTAAGATGGCCTTGTTCCTCTTTATCCCAGTTAAACAGAGGCACTTGATGTTGAGTTTTATTGTGTGGGGTAATTAAACGATAGCCGTGGCAACGTCTGCCATGGAAACGGAGCTCAGCGAGGGCGAGTTTGTAGACCGTCACTCCACAGGGTAGAGCATACCAGAGTCCGGGAAGGCCAGCTCTTGTCTGATCATCTGGCTTGATGGAGCGCAAGAAACCCTGCGACCCCATCCTGTCTTCTCCTCTGCTTTTGAAAAACAGCTAATGGCAGAACAATTTATCAGACAAAGCCCTGGCATTTCTCTTTTTATTATTAAATCTCATTTTGAATTCTCTTTGTCTCTACAACTAAAAACATTCCTAGGGGTTTCATTTGTGATAAAAGGTTGTTAAACTATGTTTTATTGTTTTTTACTCATACTAAGAGCATAAAAAGTTGCATCTAAGTTATAGTGAATGGGTGTTCTGAACTGTAATTTCATTGTGCTCTGTACAATGACAATAAAGGTCTATCTTATCTTATCGTATCGTATCGTATCGTATCGTATCGTATCGTATCGTATCG